TGTCTACCGATAATCAGCTGAACACTTGTAAAATAGTTACCTTATGTGATTTGTTTGTTTCGACGAGAGCCGTGTCTGTTCAGATATTAGTATTCGTACTGAAATGTATGTACTAGTATAAAAGTAATATAAACAAGTATTAATTTGTTTGAGGTAAAATTAAATTATGCTATATGAGACATTTTAGATGACTTTTAGTGCTAATTTGAACTTAAAAAACTATTTCTTTATAGTTTAAAGTAAAAATGAATAACCATAAATTCCTATACGATAAAACGAAGATGAATAAATCATGATTAAAGTTAATAAATAACAGTATCTTAAAGTAACTAAAGTGAATAAAATATCTTGCGCCTACAGTTAAATGAAGGCAACTCACTTTTAATCTGGTTTATACCGATATATGTGATTCGGTAAGTTCAGGACGATAATATCTCATCAAGAGCGCAATTTAGTCGGCGTTGGAATTTATTCTGATCCCTTACAAACATATCCGTTGTACCTACAATCTACATGGTATAGAATTAATGTATAGCGAATAAAAACCAAAATTTTATTTTCTTTTACATGATCTAAGACAGCCCGGTGGTGGTCGATGCATAGATGAATTACGTAATAAAATCCTAGTATAACTGCATTGTTAGCAATTATGGTTAATTATGCTCATCTTATTGTGGTTGGTCATGACAAATGTAATTATGTATATTAGTTTTTTTTTCATAAATTCCTTTGTCACAGCTGATATATTATGCCGTATATAGAAATACAAACGATCAAAGATATTTCTATATACTTTTTGTAGGGCATTGGAAATTTCCTATGTTTACTTCAGTAGCTATAAATACTTGTTTATTTTTTACTAGTCATGAGATATTCCAGAATAAAACCTACCTTGTTTTTAAAGTATGACCAGTAAGAGAAGCCATTGAATGTAAATTATTGTTCAGGAAAATATTTGACCACGCCACCACGGTTTTTTGGCCACGGTTAGATAATTGACTGACGTTTCGTCTATTCAAATAGTTTGGCGGGTGATGGATGTAGAATTGTAGAGGTTAATAAACTTTTGGCAATGACTCATTTGAAACTGATGCTATTATAATAATCCTTTACGAAGTAGGAGGAAAAAACAATAATTACAAAATTAAAAAAAACTGGCGTTTCTGTTGTCTATGAACTCCTAGGTTTCAGTGAGAGAATACTCAAGTACATATTGTAGCGACACCTACAATCTGCGCCTAAAATTGACTATGATAACGTCATACCCCGAAATGTGCTATCAAAGTATTCCGACCGATAACTTAAAATGTATGAATAAATTCGATATCCTAATCAAAATTAGCACTTATAACGTGAAACTTCCAGTTGGCAAAATTGTAATTTGTGATATGTGTCTCCCACTTATTGCTCTACATTTTCATGATAGAAATAATTGTGGATTGAGAAATTGCCTTACTTACCTACCTCACTCAAACGCTAGTCGATATCTTGTAAAGGATAGGTGGTAGTTAATTACTTAATAATTATGACAGATATGCGTTATGTGCGCTCAAAAAACTTATTATTTTTAATAGATAGGCAAAAACAAAAATGGCTTCTGTTTTTGTCTAATATCTGTTTTAAGTATATAATTTCAGACTGTATGTTAGACTGTTTTTTTAAATATTTTCCTGTTTGTAATTGTTTTGTTGCTGCATAAGCTATAAAAACAACGGTATTCGTGTGCTAATGTTATTTTGCAGTTTTGTGTTGCGTGAAACCCCAGTAAGTTTCCCCTACCCTACTGCGCTTCAACCCACACACAGCGAATAGCGATTGCGAGAAATGAACCTACATACATATATCTATAGTCGAGCGAAAACATGTCGAACTCGTGACCGTCAAGAAATCTGTCTCGGTATTGGCTACTAGAGTTGACGTCATATCTATCGACCAATAAAATTGTACGCGAGTTATTTTTAGATCACGACGTAACGAGAGTGGGGTTTGAGGAAAATCGTCGAGCTCGCGGGCTGCGAATGTTGCACAATATTTTTGAAGCTCTATCGGAGCGCGCGTATACCATTTAACTTATCAAAAAATAATTAAAACTTGACCTTGAGACTTAAAGTTCCTTTTAATAAGCGTATACGTTACCTTTTTTTCATAAAATTTAAAGAGTGACTTACGTCTAAACGACGAAAGAAAGTGCCTTCAAATATTTGTTTGAAGGGTAAGTTTTAGAATGTTCGTTTTTTGTAGTATAATATTAAATACCATATATTATTTTTATGTTTCATTATTATCATCATACATTTGTGTTAACTGAGGCTTTATATTGTATGTACTTGTTAAAGCATGTTTCAACCTGTAAGTTTACGTTGTACACATATTATAATAGGCTCATGTGGCAACCGCGTGGAAGTTCCTTGTAAATAATCATGCACGTTTCTAGAACAAAGTGAATGCTTCTTTTATTGCACAATACTTAAATTTTGAAATAATTATAAGTTTGAGATAGATACGCTAACCTCCACTATTAAGGTCGAGGTCAACGTTAATGGATTATTAAGTAGTCATTGGAAATTCCATAGAACTAGTATATGAACTTATTGAATTATTTAAATATGGGCCATTTAAAATTATATAGATATGTGTGTATCATAATAGCCTTGGATGCTGATGTTTGCTGAATGTAAAAATTATATTGGGGCATATGTGAGATGCAGACACGCCTGTGAAAGTTGTTTCAGTAGGAAATGTGCCGTGTGTACCACCAAATGTAGTGACATTTACAATCTTTAGGGCTTCAAGGTTACTTTGTAGAACGAGACAAAGGTCTTTGGAAATTTAACTTTTTCTATCTATAACTGGTTGAAACAACAAGTATAATACTTAAGATATTTCAATAAAAACGTAAATAGGGTGTCATTTACTGATAACTAAGTGTCTGTCTTTTACTTTAATGTATTTAATTTATTCGAGTTGATTCAATAGTAAGATCAAAATTTAGGTTTTTAGGAATAGTATTGTATTTTTTTCGTAGTTTCTGTTATAAAATTAGTATCCTTAAAATAACATTCATAGAAATGCCACAATTGTTAGGATATAAAAATCGGGTCGTTGGCTTACAGTTCAGACAATTGCTTGTTTTTTATGAGCTATATATTTGTGAGCTCATTATGAGATTAGCTTCACCATTATATCTAATTTGACTCAAAATTTCCAACTTTAGGTACAATTCGTACCGCACAAACACATCGCAAATCCACACACTGACCTTTGTATTGTATGCCATCTACATCTACGTTGTTCGAAACAACGTAGGTATATTGGTTTAGTTCCAAAAACGAAGCGCTTTTGAAGTTTTCCATAGAAAAATATACGGTTAGGTTAGGTTAGTACATTAACTATGAGATTTTATATATTTTTCGTCCATGACAATGCTATTATATAACGATACTAACCAATATTAATGTAAGAAGTAGAATCTGTTAGAAGCAAAAAAAGATATCTTTGTCTAGACGATATCTATCGAGACTATAAAATTAAGTAGTTTTGTATTCGGCAATTTAAGAAATTGATAAAAACGTCGCCCATTTTGTTTCCGAGATAACGTGTATGATGATGTATATTGGTATATTATAAAAAGAGTAGGTAGATAATGTTTAACACGTTTTGTGCCACGTGCAATTAGAGTTAATGATTATTGCAGTTGTCACTTGATTGAAGATAAGATTTTATAATAATAATAAAAACACGTAGAACCACATTCATTTAATCACCTTAGAAATATTTTAATAAGTGTATTGCGCAAGAGCCTAATGCTCGACGATTGTGATGTCTAATTACTATATTATATAATTCAAATTTTAAGAATAGCGACACATCTTAGTCCAGCTATTAAGACAACTTTGCCATTCCAGCTTTTATGTATGAAGAAATAAGTTTGTTATATCACGCGATACCCCGACAACTATCACGCCACCTTGGTGGTGGCTTGGTATTATTATTAAAAATACTATTAGCATTTGTACGATTGCAGGGTTAATTGCTATGTTTTAAGTTTAATTTCGTGTTTAGTATAAAATATTTTTTATTGTTTCAGGACTACATCTGTGACAGTGACTTGGTGCGGAGCCTAAAGGGATAAGCATTTCAGTTGGAGCTCGTGACGAGTTCAAAGTAAGTACTTCCGCTTAGGCGGATTCCATATTATTATTTATTATCTATGTTACAGGTTTTAGAGCGGACAGCCGAATAAGTAGCAACCTTCAAACCACACTTCAAGATTATATAATTCTTTATTTATCATACATAATAATTTATTAATAGTTCAAAAAATAGGCGATCGGTTAAATGTTTTTAATTACATTTCATTTACTTAACTAGTTTTCGCCAGATGAACTTAATAGTTCAACGGATTTGTGTTTTTACCATTTTGTAAGCAACCGTTACACATTTCATTAATTACTCACTTTTTCATACTCTTCTATAAGTGTCAAAGAACTTTTATATGTAGTTCATTCAGATAAGCTTATAAATTGCTTTCTTCCTACAATAATCCTTCGGCATATGTATTTTAATGTATTGCTCTGATGTATTTCTCAATTAGTTTTTTTTCATCTTAATATGTAAATATATTTCAATAAATTAATCATATAAAGTATTCATTACCTACTTTATCTCTCTCCATGTTTATCATGCTTTTTATAATGAATCAAAAGGGTTGCTATCCTTTCCTATGTTGGGTTAATAATGGCAAGAGTCGATCGCACACAATCATATTTCCAACATAACATATTTTGTATGTGTTTCGTAGTTGTATTGTTTTGTGTATATCCAAATCTCGCCTATCACCGTTTCCCATTCCTCTATCCCGATGCTTAATAAATGTATGCACATTCTGTTACGCGTCTCATTTCTGTTTGTAGTTCTTTTCAAAATGGTTGCTCAAAAGATCAGCGTCAGTCCGCAAGGAGGCGACGATATCGGAATACAATACGACTACATCGAAAGACATGGTTTTTTCGCAAACGAGTCACAAAACTCGCAGTTTATTGAAAGTAATAGAGATAGATCGGTTAAAGTCCGGAAAGAACCTGAAGGTACACCGTCCTTACGGAGTTGTGACCGACCTAAGAACGGAAACAGCACTCTCTTCTCCAACGACAGTATCAACGCCAACAACGCCATCAACGCCATCAACGCCAACAACGCCACTGCTAACTACAAGCTATTCAGAGGTAAGAAGGAGTCGGCGGCACGTGAGTTCTTTATCTTTTATAAGTTCGTTTGTAAGTAGTCGAGTGACTTGTCGAGAGTCATAATTTTCAGGAAATTCTTGCTAAGTTCTTCTTACCTTTCAGGAATTTCTCAAACCGGAGCCCGTGTATCAAAGTACGATGCAGGATTTGGATGCAGAGTTCTTCCAAGATTTGATTCAGTGGTGCGACGACACACCCACCGAGCAAGCAGTAGTACAGTCCATTGGTAAGTCGAGTTCAGATTCAGATTGTGCAAACGAAAAAATAGTTTTCTAACATCCCATAATTTTGTTTCAACAGATCCAACAAAAACAACAGACACGAGGGCACACACCACCGACACACAGCACACACAATTCCCACCGCTAGTTTGGGATGTAATTGACAATAACTCTCCCATAGCTCAATCGAGCTCATACAACCCGACCCCACCTAGTTTTCCCGACTCACCGGTCGGGAACGGTATGGCAGCGTTCAATACAGATTTCTTCGGTTCCCCCACCTTCATGGACGAGGAGCGACTACCATTCCAAGAACAATTTTTAGATATAGATAAGCTGCCCGTGGTAATAGGGGATCTAGCGTCAGAAACTGTCGCCGACTCAAATCCATGGGTAACCATGGAACCGGTCTGGCATAACACATACGATTACATGAAACCACATACAGATATACACACAATGCCCTTCATCGATCAAGAGGACTCACTGGACATGAAAATGATGTCCGTAATACCACGGGAGGTAGAAAACGACGTGGTGATATCGGAGTATATCCTTAGTGAGGCGCCGCCTCGGCCGTCGTTGGCCTTGGACGTGGCAGCCAGGCCCTGGACACACGACGTCATCAGCACGCCAGAGGTCCTCACCTACGTCGAGCAGCTTGAAAAAGAAAAATGTCCTCCTGTATGCTCGGTAAGTCTATCGTATTTTTTGTATGAAGAGAGGGTATTTTTCAGAGGGTGAACAAACAGCCTGCTGTGACCGTTTGTAGTATGTGCCGTAATTAAACAACGAGTAAAGTTAATAAATACCAAATACTCAATATTTTTATTATAGAAGTAAGTCAAGCAAGTATTGTAAAGTTATGAATTTTTTTTAACCATGTTAATCAATTTCAGGCCCCGATATCACCATCTCAATACTCTTCATCCCCAGCGCCAAGTTGCGCAAAATTGGAAAATTCTCCGTCGGCCGAATATGAACCCATCACTCCAAAGAGCGAGCCTCCGTTGGACTCAGAAGAAGACAACAAGTCGAGGACGAGCAAGAGGCAACGGCTCGACAGCGAAGAATCAGACGAGTCGTATACACCGTACGAGCAACCGACTCGGCGGTATAAGCGTCGGAAGCCCAGCATACCCATCAAGGATATGATTCGCGCGCTGGAAGGGTCACAACAGTTGACGAAGGCGCGACGCGGGCGACCCCCCAAAAGGAGGGAGAGCACCATCTCCAACGTAAGCGAAAACTCCTCGTCTGTTTCTACGCACGAAATAAAGTACAGAGAGCTCAGAGATAAGAACAATGAAGCCTCGAAACGATCCAGAATGAACAGAAAGCTCAAAGAACTCCAGATGGAACAGTTGGCTGGCGAACTCGAAGAGCGCAACAAGAAGCTAAGAGTTCGAGCGGATCTGCTCGAAGACATGACTAAGAAACTCAGGGAAGCTTTCATGGCGGCGGTCGCGAAGAGCAAAGTTGGTTAACTGTGTTTAGGAACTTTTACGGCTTTCAATGATTTTGTCTTACGCTTAGCGTTGATCTTTGTTTGCTTCGCGGGCAACTAGATTAGTAGACACAGGCCCAGACAAATGTTCTGAGCGTAGTTATCTCGTTTTTATTTCATAAACCGGATATGACGTTTTTAATACAGGATTTGACGTTTTAGATTATAAGTATTACATTTTAAGAATGTTAAAATAATTACTTAACACTTTATTATATTTTTAACGAGAAGTGTTAAGGTCTTCATTTAATTTTATTTGTAAGTCTTTGTCGAGACATCTTTGAAGCTCGAATTTAATGTTATATAAAAAATAATAATTAATATTAATTAAATCTAAAATTGGTTAGTTTTTGAGATAACGCATGGTAATTGATCGCGGTAGATTTATGTTTTGTTGTACTTGAAATAAAATGTTTTCAACTTGTTGAATTGCTTGTTTCTTTGTTTTTCATACATTTCCCGATCAAAATATAGCTTTATAATAAATAGTACCAAGTTATTAACTGTTACTGGCTTAAGTACTGTGATTCCGTTATAATATTATATAATTTATTTTATGAGAAAACTAGCAATTTTTATAATAGCATTTTTTAATTCAAACCAAAAACGCAATCCTTGTACAGCTCGGTAAATAATGCGTGATTTTAAAACAAATTAATATTTATATGCGCAGGTACAATTCCATCATTACTTTTTGCGTAAGTGAAACTTATGTTTGCGCTGCGTACGCAATGGAAGTTTAAGGCTAAGTTCAGATGACCGCGCGGTTGGAGCATTCACATGACGGTATACGTACGCGCGGCAGTGTGGCTTCAACATTGATTGACAATGGACGTGGAGGAGGCAATTTGCTTATGAATTTTATATAGAAGACTGAGACGTCGCAGAAGAAGACAAAGACGATACTGGGTGCATCCAATTTTAAGTGGCAGACTTTCTTCCAGCCTGTTTATCACTTTGTATCCCGACTTGAGGTTACACGAAGATAATTTTTTTAACTATTTCCGGATGTCAGTTGCATCCTTTGATTTTTTATACGATTCTATTGAAAATGATTTAAAATCCAGTGAAGATGCTATAAGATATTGCATATTTTCGGTACTAATTTTGCATCACCAAATACATAATACCATATTTTCGGTACTAATTTTGCATCGATCTATGTGTCTTTCCGTCTCAAGCCGCGCGGATCAACTGAACAGGTCGACACAAAACTTGTGCCGCGCGCGGCCGCGGTTCAAGATCTTGCGCGCGGGTCGGAGCGCGCCGCGAGTTGGCGTGCGGTACCGCGCGGCAATGTAGACGATAATTACCGTTTATATTGATCTTGTACCGCGCGGTCATCTGAACTTAGCCTTAAAAATAGAATGTTTTCCCGATTCTGCAACATTTTTCATGCATTAAATTTTAAAACATTGATTATTATCTATATAGCCTTCCTTGATAAATACGACTATTCGTCAGAAAAAATATTTTGATTGTAACTATGTAGTTTCTGAAATTTGAGCATACAAACTAGGGATGCATCGATACGCTTTTTTGCCGATACGATACCGATACACCTTATTGAATTAAAATTAAATTAAGGTAAAATAATATATCAAGTTAAGTTAAATTTTATAATTTTTATTAAAAAAATATATATACAAAAAATAGTCACCAACTTTGAATAATTTTAAGGTTTTGTTACTAAAATTAAGAGTAAAAATTAAAATAAATAACTGTTAATAATTAAAATTAACAATGATAACATTGTTGTAATTCTGTATTTTATTAAATTTGGTATCGAAAAATACTTCTCGCGATAGCAGTTAAAAGCCAACTAAATGATCTTCAAATCTACGTTCAGTAAAGTCTCAATGATCTCCCGCAAGCCATAATATCTAATAACTAGGCGCTGGCAAAGGTAGTTGACTCAAGTAAAAATTTTGGTCTACTAATCAATCCAACAAGAGTTTTTCGTACTGACATGAGACTGATCGTAAATTATCGTGATTCATGTGCACTTTTTATTTTTCATGTAGACTTTTTTTAGTTTATATGTAATATGTATTTTTGCCCTCCTTTTCACTTAATTATGTTCAATTTTTATATTGTAATGCAACAAAGTGTTAATAAATAGTGTTTAGCGAAATGAAATATAATACATAAATAATAATGCTTTGTCCCCAAGCGAATGATAGAGACAACAAACTGAATAAAACGCGGAGATTTCTTGGGCAACAATAGTTCGTGGCTCGTTTGCAACAATCTAGATCATACAAAATGCGCGTTTACATTATTTTTTTAAAGCGTGAAATTTGAAAAGTATCGGTGAATCGGCAATGAAAATATCGCCGATGCCGATATATCGGCAAACCCAAAGTATCGCCGATATATGGGTATCGGATGCATCCCTAATACAAACTCTTCAGTTTTATAATACTAGTATAGATGAGTAGATATCTTGACGTCAAGATAAAATAAAATACCATACTGAAAAAGAGTAATTTATTTATAATTCACATAAGACATTATGTACCAAATTCTGACGATGTTTTAGGTAAAATAATTATCATACAATGATATATTGTGACAAGACCTTAAAATAATGTGGAGGTTTTTTAAATGAATCCTGCGAATGCATCAAAAATAATATGGCAACCAATATTACGCCAAAATGCATTTGATTCCAAATGTGTAAAGATAAATAATACAATTAACATTCTAATAATATCTCTAAATCGACTAAATATAGTATAGACAAATCTAAAAGAACAAAAAGATCTATCGGCATTGCAGCAAAATGTTAACACCTCTGGAGAAATACAGAACGGGATAAAAGAGCACCGATTCTGGCAATCTTTAGAATTAAACTCCATCAGTTATCAGGTAACCGTTTACACAGCATTATAAATGTAACAAACCCATAGAAAATTTACATCAATATTCGCGGCGCCCCAGCCGTTATTATACAACTCACTACTAACCTCGAAATGATAACGACGGGGTAATAAAGCGATACTATCGCTATAATGAATGACAAACAATGAATGATTGTATGGAATTGTATATTAATTCTTCATTTATATTAAATAAATGTTTGACCGTAACTAATGCTTTATTTTGCATTGCAATACAATAGTAAAGCGTAGTACAGTAAGGGCTGGGGCAGGCCTCGAAGCGCAGTGTGCATTTAGCCTAATGTACACTCGTTTAATTTACAGTCGAGTCACAAGTTTACACAAGCACTCAAGTCAACACTATTAATCGGACCCGGCGTCGTCCGCGTCTTCTAGGAAACTAAATTTGTTAGATGCAATGAAGTTCTGAAACAAAAAGGTAAATTAATAAATTAAGTTAGTATGAGATCCCCCTTTCAAAATTGGACGACCAACAATTTATATTACGCTTTAATACGAGATATAATTCGGAGCAAAACCATTATTTTCTGTTTTATTGTCGAAATAAGACATTTTTCACATTTACTTTTTATAAAAATCTATAATAAGATTCTTTCATTATTTTCGACTTCTCAGTACTTTACACACATAATGGTGACTGTTAGGTATAAAGGTGACGAAACGTCACGAAACGTTTTACTATACTTGGGTACAGAAAATATTTTACGGCGCGTTACATGGGGGGGGTCAATAATCTCCAAAAATTCTATGACGTGATACTTGAACGCTCCCTAAGCTAATTTTACTAATAATAATTAATTATTAACATACCGGTTTCTCCTGTTCCTTCATTTTGGGCAGTGGTTTCTCTTCGGGTTCCCGTCGGTCCCTGGAGCGAGAGGTACGTCCGTTCTTTTCCCGGGATTCATCTCTCTCGCCCGAAGGCTCGCGACGTTCTTGATTGTCTACCTCTTCGCCATTTTTGCTGTTAAAGAAGAAAATAATTGCTTTAATTACCTTTTGTGTATAACTGTTAATATTTACGAACTATTATATGTCGGAGGAAATACTCTAGTATCGGCTGCCATTTTCATTTATTAATTACATCATAGTCAAATTAGTTATATTGTTTATTAGATTTGCCAATATTACATAATATAATATAGTCTACTTATGTCTAAAACACGAATTAACCGATTTTGTGAATTTAACAATGTTTAAAACTAATCTTTTACCCATGAAATATATATCATAGCATTCACTATCAAAACTATTTCAATAAAATCAAGAAAACCATGATTGTCTCAGACCATTACATTTTAAATCACATATTCACATAATCATTACCAAAATAATACTATACACTAGTCTAGAATGATTATTTATACAAAAAATTTACGCCTTTAACTTATACTTTGATCTCATCAAAATCTTTCTCGATGGTTAATTTTTATAATGGCTGCTTTTCAGATACGCAGTGCCTACACTGTTTAAAAGGTTAAAAAAGGGGGCCTCTCATAATAGCTGGGTATATAGAAAAAATTCTTACTAGTCGTGATCGGCCCTCTCCCGGGAGCGGTCGCCTCCATCCTCCCTGTCCTTCTCCGAGTCGCGGTTATCTCGCGGCCGAGAGTCGCGCGACTCTTTCTCTTTTGAAACCTCGCGACCTCTGTTGTAACTACGGTTCTCTCTGCGGTCATCTGTAGAAAATATTTTAAATATTAGAGATAAAAGTAATTAAAAAGCGACTTCAAATACGTTACACAAACACATATGAAAAAAATTATGTTTCTTAGAGAGGTAAATTTTTGCTTGAAATACCAGAACCATGTACCATGGGATATTATTTATAAAGCCGTGAATCAATCCCAGAAACCTCCGGGTCATCTGTTCAATGCCATCAAACAAATATTTGCAATAAAATAATATTGCGGTTATAAATTGAGATGTAAGCTATCCTATCTCTTAAGTTGGATCAAACTACACACGGTGTGCAAATTGGATTGATATCGGTATCGGTACCTTTCCCTATAAAACGAGTATAGTACCGAGTGTTTTAATCCTAATTTCGTTTATAAAATAAATTCTTACCACGTCTTGCACCAGGGCGTCTATCGCCAGATTGATCATTCTGAAATAATATTAGAATAAAAAAATGAATAGATGTATATAGTATAAATAAAACTGTTAAATTAAATATAAGAATTTTTAAATAATTGAACAATTATATAGTTTTATGGAACGAATAAAATTGCAGGGTCAAAACAATATCAAATTGAAATATTATGTTAATAAATATTTTCAGCGATTTAATTTTATTTTTTATTGACGCCAATAATACTTAATTTTTACATCAATGACATTTCAACTATAGTATACAAAAAAAATATAGCATTTGTAATATAATTAATATTTATAAAATAATTTAACTAACCCTTCGTCCCCAACGCTCCTTTTCATCAGTACCGCGACGAGCTTCTTCTTCCTGCTTCCGTAAGCGCTCCTCTATTTCGCGCTCCCTGTATTAATATCATTATTTTATATCCAATGACACTACAAATCTTATTGGAAACATCTCAAATTTTAGATTAATATCGATGTGTACAGACAAAAATAAAATTAAGTAAATATCTTTGTATGAAACTATTAAAACTTATAATAAAATATATAATGTCTCTAATATTAAACGTGATAGAAATAGAAAAAATATTACTATTATGCTGTGTGTGAGTGCATATGACTTTTTGTGTTTTATATGAGTAGCTGTTGGTATATTGCGACCGAGTTGCATATGAAACGCAACCCGGTGTCTAATTGACCCTTTACTATGGCACAAAGATGTAATCTTACAATCATTACAGTCAAAATGGCTGTAATTCTTGCTTACTGTGCGAATACATGTTCAAATTAATAACCTGAATTTACCACTTTCTTTAATCTTTGGAATTCAAAGAAGAATCTTATAACCGCTTCACAACCGCTATGTATGTTAAAAAAATATTCAAACAAAAATTACTTAGAAGAAAGTATTATTTAATTTTAAAGTCACAATAATAAATATCAAATAAATGATCCTTTAGAGAAAATACTTTTGAGGCGCACGTCATGGCAATGTATGGGCTTACGCTTGGTCAATTGACAATTTTTCATACTGGCATACAAAAATACATAATGGCGTCGTGCATTCGAATCACGACTGACATTTATTTCTATTTAACATTCACGGTGAAGATAACATCGCAAACAAACAGAGATGGTTAAGACCCAAAAAACGTTTTTAAATATTACAACAATTCAGAAATCTGATCAAAACCAAGTGTTTGGAGTGCAATGTGATAGATAAATGAAGTTTATATATTGTTTTGACTCACTTAGCAGCTGTATCGACGGGTTTGGCCCCACCAAAGACTTTCTCAGCGGCCACAGGTTTAGGTGGCCCCGACTTTTCTTCAATTTGAGCTCCATCTGCAGGTTTCGTTGGAACTTCAGGGTCACGAGGCACTGAACGTGGGAGCAGGTTTAGTTTGGGACGTTCACGGGGCTTGGAATCTGTAAAAAATAATTTAAGTTAATTAGTCTTAAAAACCTGTATATACTGTAAATAAGTTTCACCAGGAGTCACACCTATGACCTCCGGGTTATACGGCCCTATCAGAGATTTAAAGACTTATATATCTTTATACTTAAATACTCGAGTGGCGGAGAGTTTCTTGCCAGTTCTACGCCCTTGACTTGCGAACTGGTAGTAAATTTAAATATACATAGAATCAATTTATCTTTTCTGTTGACGTTCATAAGTGTACTTGGTAATACCTATATGAGATTGAGTCACAGGGACTGATACGACGCCATCTTGCCTAGAGAAGCATTTTAGAAAGTTCTTAAAGTTATGAATATTCATTTTGATTGTATAAAAGTAATTAACAGAATTAAAAAATAACAATTTTGGAGTCGCAAATAAATAATCTGAAAAAATTATTAATTTACCTTCTCTAGGGGGATCCCTGTCACGGTCACCAAAGCCTCTGCTACCGAATCCTCTGCTATCACGACTGTAAACATACACTAATTGTAAAATCAAATATAAAAGTGAAAATAACAATGATAAAGTGTCTAAACATTACATAGTAAATTGTCAAAGAATTAGATCAGTTATAAAAAAATAACATATGTAAATGTAGGTTAATAGCGACCAATATTGTGTATACAACACAATATGGTGTCTTATGAACCTCACTTTGCTATTGCACAGAGATAAGTATACCTTACAACAATACAGTCAATCAACTGAAATTCTTGTATAGTGTGCTTACAAATTCATTTAAATGAGATAAGTATCAGAAACATGTTTTTCTGTTTTCACATTTCTTTCTGTTTTTGCAACATTTATTGATCGCAACATGATGTTATATTAGCCTACGTTACTAGCTGATAATGTAGAAAGTGAAAGAATTTTAAATTCGGTTCAGTAGTTATTGAGCTTATAAATCACAAAAAAAATGTATATCACTTTAGAAAGAACCTTGAGTTGACTTCATGAAATACATAAACTATCAAATTGGTTCGGTTACACGAATCAGCGGAACTTATTAATCAAGTAAAAATATACTATAAACTCAATTAAGTTACGCCTTTTCATTGCGCCGATTTCACGACAAAATTACATATAATATGAATAAGTACGGAAAACTGAAAAATTCTATATACCTAAATCCACCATCCCTCTCGGCAGCTCTGAATCCATCTCTGCCTCCGTATCCGCTCCTTTCGCGACCGCCTTCCTCACGCCCGAAACCTCGTTCCCTTATAAATTATAATATTTCTTATTAAGTAACCAACTTTATGTTTTTAAAGCTACCTCAAAACATGCTCTTTAGCCAAATATTATTTTTTAATAAAACATTATTTTGACTACTAGCAAATTAAAGGATACAAATCATTTAGCATAATCTTCACTATCCCCTTATAAACGTACCGGATAGCTTATAATTAACTTTATTTGTCTGTATGTTAATAAATAAGGTTGAATATAAATACCTATCCCCATATCTTTCACGGCCGTACGAATCTCGTCCGCCGTAGGGCGCGCGTGGCGGCTCGGCGGGTCTTTCTGCGTCACGCCAAGCACCTGGCTTGTTGTCCACGCTTGCTGTGATTAAAATAAAAGGGATAATATTAAAGTAACAAACAAAACTTAGTATGTAAATTAACCTGTGTACACTTAAAAGAAAGTTTTTTTAAAAGATAAATTGATATAAACGCGAAATATTTACATTATTTAAATTACTCGAAGGTTTTTAGATCGTGAATAGCGAGACGGTTTGCGTTTATATTCTTTGAAGAAGTTTCCAGATTAACATTATGTAAGTAATTTGTGTTAGGTCACTCAGGGAGTGTCTGTAAATATCGAGCGAGCCATAGACTAGTCTGAATTGAGTTACGGCATAACCGTGTCACAGATTGAACTAAAACTGCCGGTTACAGGAAATTTCCAACAATCATAGAGCTGCATCTGACCTCGACTAACACTTTGATTGATTTTTCTGGTTTCCCTGCCATTGTTATAGACAACGCCCCCGGCTAGAGGGTCAATAATGACTACAGAGCATCGACCTTTACTCAGACCTTCCCGAGACATAGAGAGTAACTTTTTTTTCATTATTGTACTCTGTATGTATGTCCCAAGTGTGACATTATAGCTCACTCAATATCACTAACACCATTGTTCATCATAGTGACGATATTTTAAGAATAAAAACATTCAATTGAGTATTTTTAAAATTAATATTTAAAAAGTCAGAATCTTTTCTTTTTAATCAACACCCTGTTATTTACACCTTTAACATAACCCAATTACCCAGGTCTTCCAAGATATAAGCTAACAAGCTTAAAAACTTTACTCACAATCACGTTCACGGTCCCTGTCGCGATCTCTGTCTCGGTCCCTGTTTTCGGCAGGAGGTCTAGCGCGATTAGTCTCAGGCGCTGCCCGAGGACCTGATCTCCAGTCACCCATTGTACGCTCTGGGTCGTAGTCCCTATTAAATGTACAATGTATCGTAAGTTCTCCAATTTACTAAAATTACATTTTGATTGTAGAAATTGGAGATTGCAACAAATTTAATGAACGTTTTTATTAGAGTTCGATAAGACATCAAAGGCTTTTTGACAGTATGAAAAATGATCATCGATGATCAAAAGTGTCATCGAGAGTAATTTGTATACAACATGGTTTTAAAAATGGCGTTGGAGAGTATTGCATCAACAATGATGTAGAATTTTTGTAAATGCCTTTGCCAATATAATCTTTTACTGTCATGGTTTAATTTCGATGGAAACTGGTGTTGATTGATGATAATATGCTTTTATTCCTAAGGGGCTGTTCAAGTATTTGTCCATAAGCTTGTCAGCCTAACTAAGCAAAGCTCTCAAAAATAATAGTACATAAACGTATTAATGTACATAATCCTCGAAAATGCATTTCGTTTTCAAGCATAGACAATGTGTGGGTAATGTGTAAAAAAGTAAATAATTACTGTTGACGTAATCACCAAATAATAATAAAATCCTGCACCTTGAACGGGCTCTAAGACTAATAATGGCGGAAAGTTAAGTAACTTAATCATAGAATAATCACAAGTCATGTGTAAAGTAACTAATAGTTTAAAATAATAAAAAAAAATCAAATACCTGTCTCTATCCGAGCGGCCCATGCCACTGCGTCCCATTCCGCGACGATCATTTTCTTTCGTGTACACCTCTATTCTGATTCTCCTTCCTCCTATTGTCTGTATAGATATAATTTATATGAGAGATTATGTGATAGAAAAACATTACTACAGTCAAAACCGTTTACGACATCGTTTAGAACAACATACCGGTTATATTGAACAAAATCAAAGGTACTGGAATTCTATTGTATTAGGTACTTAATAACAACGTCATCGGCTGATACGACTCGGTTTTTACGACCAAACATGAGTATTCCCTTCGATGTCGTTATAACTTTACTGTATTATAAAAAATATATACAACTTGGCTGACTAACCAATTTGTATTAGGAAATATTTTGACTGCTTTATCCCAATTAAATCTATCTTCTCTTAATTTTTGTTTAATTGATGCCAACAAAAACATTTTAAATTTCTAGTTAAATTAAGTTTTATTTATAAAAGGTTTAAAGCAATATAATGAGTTTGCATGAAGATTGAACACTTGAACTTTGAAGAAATTAATGGTCCAAAAAGAATACTAAATTTCATTAAACATAAAATATTCTTACAAGGTCAGGAATGTTCATAGCACTGACAAGACTCTCCCTGTCTTCAAAGTCTACATAACCAAATCCTTTGAGTCGGTCTCCTTCCCTTGGAAGTCTCAGGTTGGATATCTGTGAAAAAAATTATATTGAAAAATATGTATATGTGATAGTGCACAATGTGTATAACCCAAATATACTAAATTTGATTCCTAATAAAACAGTAATTGTAATAAGTAGGAAGGCACAAACTATGAATTTATCAATAATATAAACATGTTTGTATTATGCCCCACTGTGGCTCAATAGTTGCAATTATTTCTAGCTATAACATTGACTCAAGTTGAATCCTATCTGCATTGCAGTTGTTTGAAATAATTATGAGTTTGGATCAAAATTTTGCTACATTGCAATATGTGGGGCAATAACATACAAATCATTGGATTGACTATATTGACTTGGTATATCAAATATGTAGTACTTAAGGTCTAACACCATACTTAGCCTTATGATAGGCATTAGGCTGATTATGAAAACTATTTGATGACATGAGAAAGATTCAACCTTGATTTTATTCTATTGTATTGAGAGCAGGCCAGTCTTTGGCTGATATATGTTAAAGATACTTTTTTCAGGTAATAATTACAAATACATATTTAAAATACCTTAAGGCCCTCAAACAGGTCAGATATAGCACTGTCATCAACATCATATGGAAGGTTGGATATATGTGCGATGTATGGTGGACGTTTGGGGATGCTCTCGTCGTCCACAGAGAGACCTCCACGCGCGGCTCGGGACGCGGACGGCAACACCACCGGGCGAGTGGTCCGGGATCCCGAGTGCCCATAACTAGCTGTGACACATGCAATTGACCACTAATTGTGAATTACAGTTCAATACAACATAATTACACATATAATATATATTTAAAATAAAATCTTTTGAATATGATGGTACAATACCAAATAAAGAAAATAGTTAAAGCATTGGAAAAATACCATGAATAAGCTGGACATGGTATTTTTGGTACTAGTAGTTCACAAAATTAAACAGCTTAACAGCTTTGAAACAAATTATGCATTATTGTATTTTAATCTTGTGAAATATATTGAGAAGATAAAAGCTAATATGTATTATCAATGTTTGTATTATATTGTTAAACAAATCAAATAAAGACAACTGTGTAACCCTCAGGTTCTGCAGGGAGCAAGCCAATGAAAGACTAGTCTGAATTGAGTTATGACTTATGTCATCTCGTAGATCATGCTAAAATGGCTGGTCATGGGAAATTCCAACAATTATAGTATCTGCACCTCTTCCACAACCAACTTTTTGGGAATCATAGGCTAAATACAAAACTGTAATTTCTGGTTTCCCCACCTTCCTTATAATGGAAGCATCCGGCTAGAATGTAGTTAAAACACAGGACCTTTACTCAGACCTTCCCGGGGTGGAAGAAGTGATAAACACTCAGCATGTACACCCCATGTACGAGATTATCATTGGCTTGCCATTTCCCAAGTTTCATCATAGGGTTATGAATTAAATTAGGGTAAAAAGCAGAAGGTATAAATGACTTACTTTCTTCATCTGGATCGGCCCAGGTGTTTGCAGTAGCGATTGTGGTGGGCTCTGCAATAATGTCTGTGATATTTGCTTTGACCCATTTTTGCTTTTTGGTCTTCTTGCCTGAAAGAGACAGCAATTCATAGGATGCTTAAACTTGGATGTTATTTAACACATAAGTCGATAATGATGACGCATTGCAAGCAAACGACCTACTCCAATTTTGGACTTCGTGAGCTTAATATGAACGTCAAGGTTATAAATTTCAAGTAGTGAAACTAGCTTGTACAACTTAAGATACATATAACCTTACAATTAATTACAAATAAGTTTATAAAAATACAAGGTATAAAATTTGGCCACGCGGTAAATCAAAACGACTGCAGCAAAGGAGAATAATGACACGTTAGCATTGTAACATATTTTTCTTACCAAGCTCAATGACTTTTTTATACTAAATGCATATTAACTAAATAAAATCATGCAGAAAAATTGAAAAAGGCAATAAATCTACGGCAATAAACTACTATTTTTCAAGTGACAAAATTAATAGAACTAACCTGTAGCGGCCATATTACAAGGCTGGGGCCAATGTTGCCATTGATTAAACAGTTAACAAATTTGCCGCAGGATGCAGAGTGCAGACTGCAGAATATAAATGAAACGCAGAGTACAGAATGCCAAAGGACTATCTAATAAACTGAAATAAATATACTTATTTACATTTAGCAACTTTAATATTACTAGAATATAAACATTTCTTATTATATGATTTTCTACGCCATGATTATTTAGTTGATTTATGCTGTAGGTGAACATACTTTTCTCTTGATAAATGACACTGCAGTATAATACAACAAAATATTTTTTAAATAAGACGTACTTTCTAACATGAGATATAGAAATTCAGTTTTAGTTTATTTAATTTAATAATTATGAAAAAACTTTGTTTACATATATCAAAACATAAACAATATTAACTTCGTATTTTGAATAAGCTTTTATCGATCCTTTAAAAAGGTTATCATCAAATTACTGATGCTGGATGTATGATCTTTTAATTTTTAAATACCATCAAAGTAAATTAAAATAAAAGCATCATCTGTGTTACATAATTTTCACTGAAACAAACATCTACACGGACTATGGAGTATGGAGTATACGCATGTCGCATGGTGCAACTGACACTTGACTTGACAGCAGCTAGATTATTGACAGGAGTGTCATACTTAATACTTAATATTCTCAGTGCCTAGAGTTCGAATAATCTGATGTCTGACCGTTCTAAACTCCCTAATTAATAACTAAAAAGTAGTCTGTGCCCTGTGGCATTCACGCCGCGCACTCACATTGATTTGACGTGTCTTGTTTAATTTAACGTTTTTAAACGCGCAGCAACCGTGCTTTTTAATATTTTTTTATTTTTACATACGACTATATTTTAAAGTTGTGGGACATAATAATAAAATATTAGCAGTGTTGATTTTGGAAATGTGAATAGTGTTGTGTTTACATTGCCGTTACAATGTCGTGTTGGTGCATAGTGTAAAGTTTTGTTTACAATGGGTTACACGTCTAGTGGAACGGGGAGAGCCGCCCATGAGGCGTTGCTAGCCCGGCAGGATGCTGAGTTGCGTTTGATGGAGACCATGAAACGAAGTCTTCAAGCTAAAATGAAAAGCGATAGGGAGTATGCGCTCGCGCTGTCGGCCGCGGCGGCACAAGGACAAAAGATGGATAAATGCGAAGAACTGAACGGTAAGTATCGACAATAATTTCTTAAACAAAGGCTTTGATGTTTACCCTTTTACTTGCTCCTAAAACAGCTTTCGGTCTGTTTTTCCATCCATAGGCTTTTCTGTTTTTGCCTTTATTGGACACACGGGAGACCTAGCTGTAACCACTAAACTACCGCGACTCTATTGTAGACTAAGAAATGCTGTCATTCTTTTACTTATTTCGACTTATAAGATAGGTTTAATTTTCATTTTAATGTTCCATTTAAATGTTGGCAGTGGTTTCTATTGCTATAGTGGAAGTTTCGAGCATAAAATGGGGCGAAATGAATGTAAAAAAAAACATCAGATATATAAATTTAATTAAATGTACTAAAATCCACAAAGAAGTTATCCAATTTATTAATACAATGTTTATATAAGTGGTATAACTCGGCCCATCAATAAATATTATATTTTGTATTCACTTAACAAGATATAATTTTCATCAAACAGGATCCGTCATAGCGTCCGCCTGGCGCACCATGACTGAAGAATGGGAGAACACCAGCCGCATGATAAAGACAAACGCTGAAGCTCTCGAGTCCAAAGCTTTGGACCGCTTGAACACTTTAATGTCTGAAAGACGAAAGGCCCGTAAAGCATATCAAGAGGATCATACTAAAATATCATCGCAGTTTACACAGGTAGGTCATTAGTTACATCTCTGATGTTGGTTCACGGTGACCTGTAAAGAATGCACCAAATGTTATACGCTAGTATTGCTTAATGTTATCGATATAGGACGTACAGAATTATTTTGGAAATAATAGGTGTGGAAAAAACGTGTTATTAATTTTACCGATAAAATTACGCTTACGTCGGAGCTGTTATACATTTAATATAAGATAATGGAGTTTTTAAATAATAAGTAAAGACTATCTACAGTTTAATCAATACAAATAAGTAGGTAACAACAAATTGCCAAGAGTTTTTCTTATACAGTGTTTTATTACCGCCGTAACTTTTTACTGTGATTGCTTAACTAACAATACTAGTGAAATATTACTAGATTTTCATATCAGCGTATCCGATCACATTCGATTACGATTCTGACTCATTCTGACACTAGTTCACTTGGTCAACGCTAATCTATATGTATAAAACAAAATTGGTTACACCATTTGTAACTCCATTACGGCTAGACCGATTTTTATATATTTTTTTGGATTGGTCTTTGTCCTAAATAGAAATTAGAATATCGGAAAACTTCACAAAATAAACTCGAATTGTAAACAACTTGTAATGTGCTTCGACATTTTCGCAACAATACAACAGGTATTCTGACATTTGCCTTAAGCAAATTTTTGAGTTTTGCTGAATTTAATTCATCTACTGTTGGCTGTACGAACCGGGTCAGCTATATATATATGAATACTATCATATAAAGTGTCAGTTCCCAAGACCACTTAAGCATTTGTCGCAAAAAACGCTAGTAGCTATCAATAACCAGTATTTGATGAAACGGCGATCCGTTGCCAACCTCATCTAGTTTCCATGTGCGTTCATCCGTTTCCTCTACGTCAAGTGCCTTACATAAATTAGGTCTTAAGTGTAAGAAAGAAGTGTGTCGATCCGGTTGACTGTTAACTTTTCCAATCTCAGCTTAGGTATGTCGGCCAATTCTATCGGTTTCAGTAAATTACTTGCGGTACTGTGAAGTGATGAATAGCGTCACGTTGATAGCGATCAATGATTATATGCAGTTATATTATCGCTTTCTTGATTACAATATAAGATATCGCGCAGACAGCGTTTTAGTTCGTTTGGAGACGCGCCAATTTTTCCTTCGTTGTAAATAAACTTCACCCGCATGTTAGGCGCTATGTTCCAAGCCATCTGTTAATAATATGTAATTGTATTACTAGAACACGAAACTAGGATAGTGTTTTAAAAATAAACGGTTTTGTTCTCCTTTTCACGATTATAATACGTCGTAAGCAAACCTAATCTAAATTACGTCATCAATACTGATTTTTCATTATTGCCGTCTCAGTTTATTGTTTAGTTTGGAGGCAGGTCACTAACTTATTTTTAACGATGGTGAAACTAAGAACGAAGTGTCCTTTAGAAACTTGGAATCTCAAGCGTGTCAACAGTTTTAGAAAGTAATGTTCAAGGTAATGACTGACGACAATCGTGAATACTAGGGACATGCATAAATACGCATGACGAATATACAAAGTTTCTGTTGACATTTGAGTTCGATTCGAAGTTAATAAAGCGTTATCCTCATTATGAAACAATATTGCAATCACCTATGAAAAGATACGCAAATTGTAAGCGATGTCAAAAAGGTTAGAGATATTTAAATGCCACTGAAATCAATCCGGTTACAATGTCAATTTATTCTCAGTTGGCTCCGATTGGGCCGGAAATGTTCTAAATACTGAACAAGTCGCTTATCGCAGTTGTCTAATAGAACTGATGAATCCTATGCGTGTGAACCTTGATCAAATCTCTTTAAAATAATACGAATTTCAATTTTTAAATTAAATCTTTGATGTAATTTTAAAAATGTACATAATTTGCCTATAATAGTCCTATTGGCGGGAAATACGCTCCTTAACCAAGCGCTGTTTCTCTAATTATAAAGCACATGGCAGTATTGGATCATGGCTCAGCTTAAATAATAATAAAAGACTTAGCAATTTAGCTATGGTTATTAAGTTGGCAACTCGAGAGCGTATTGCAAATTAAGGCATCTGAATGTAACTTTAAAATTTGTGCTTTAAATAAATTCAATTGTTTATATAGAAATTTAAGATTCCGTTTCGTATAAAAGTTTATTGTTTATTAAGTTGGCTTAGTCATTAGCATACCAAAACCTAATGCTTTTATAATTCTTGTGTGTCTTTGTCTGCGTGTGTTCCTTATCTGAGGAATTCCTTACTGATAGTATTATCTATTATGCAGGGTCAATGTTGTGTGTTTAAATGTAACTATAGATTATGCTCCCTGGATATTTCTTTTATTTTTATATGTATTGTTTGATACAAATTAGCGTTTCGTTCAATTTATGACATAATCGTTTGTAGTGCATTCTTAATACTTGACCTCTCTGAATTTGTTATGTTCCCACGGTGCAGTTGGTACAGTTTCATTGTGTCCCTATAGTTCAGGTTTCACAATAGGTCATTTATATGGAGTGATTTCTATTTATAGGTCTCGTAAATAAGTATTGACAACCTTTGTAAGCGGTAATATGTTATAGGTAGTCGCATCATTATAATACTCGTTGACCTTACTATTTGAGTGTTTAGACACGTTGATTGTTATGTATCTTTAATAATGAATATTATGTAGTCATTAAGAAGATTTTTTTTAGTATTTTCTGAGTTTGAGTAAACTTTGTCTAGATATGATTACCAAAAATGTTCCTTAGTTGAATTAATTGCAATACTTCTGAGTATAATTCGGAAGTTTTGCAAAGCTTGCTACGGTGAGCCAGATTATTGGCTTCGGTTCTACTACCTATTGTAATTTAAGATGCTTCTTTCGTCCCGTGTAAAATGACCCTTTGCTTCAACCGTGTTTGTTTTTTCTTGTTTTCTGTCTGGGTACCCGATTTGATTATCATATAGAGTAGTTATTAATTATCCCATTATGTACGGGTTGTCTGCAAAAATGTTTTTACAAAATGCAAACGATTAGGACTAATATTAATTTTACTAACCGGAACTGTGTCATTTAAAAATTAATTGAATTATAATAAATTAATATAGATTTATTAGCTATTGTTTTTTAAATCATATTATAAACATAGTTTTATTATTCATACATTCATTGCCTGGAATGATATCGCTGATTTCGATAAGGTTGCTTGTTACACAGCAAAAACTTTATAGTGTTTTATCTTGTTTGAAAGCGCTAAAAATAAATAATAAATTTTAACCTAACATTTGGCTGCTAACTTGTAGTCTAGAGGTATGTTTTCATCGATTTAAATTTAATTACCACAATAAAAGTATGAAATTCAAAATGGTAGTAAAATGACCATAAAATATCGATTAACGCCGAACAATAGCAATAATTAACCTTCTGAAGTCATAATTGGAATTAATTGCACTGGCTATGGGTGAGAAGAATTTGATCCTTTGCCAAAATGTAGTTGATATTTCGACATAATATAGTAATGAGATGGTCTATGCAACTAGTTTAGCGACTTATAGAACTGTTAACACATATAATAATGTTTTATATATAGCTGCTAGACTTATTATAATATACATACTAGCTTGATGTAACGCAATATATTAATACGTTGATATCACCATTATATTAATAATTCTTGCAAGAATATGGCGTAGGTACAATAATACATATCTTTATTTGGTGAATAAACATATGAATCAGATGTTTCGAAATACCATTTAAAAAGGATTAATTACATAAGTTTCTATAAAGGCCGTCTCAACGTATTTTGAAACTTAAAATCATGTATGTATCACGGCACCAGCTTAATTATTTGTGTTCTCTGTTATATCTAATGGCCGCCAAAATATATAACCAAAAAGGTTTAAAACACGTTTTAGAGTTTTACATACCTATATGTTTGTTTGGGTCTGGCTTACCGCCGAGTTTCTCGGAATTACATGTCGCATTGCTCTAAATAGTTCGTTGCACCGTCTCAGTGTATGCTCAATGCTCATATATGTAAATTCATATTTTGCATCAACTAATACGTAAAACAATCTACTAGATAGTTTTATTTGAAACCTTTTAATAGTTTTAGTTCGAGTAAACATCATATATTCGTGTAGTAATTTTTTTTATATAACTGGGGTCAAACGGATAGGATGCTCATCTCATGTTAAGTGATACCACAGCCGATAGACATTTACATTGCTCTTAGTGCATTGGCAGAATTGGTATGCTCTTTTCTTGAAGATAACTATCTCGAATTGGTTCGGAAATACTATATTGGGTATCTGGTTCCACATAGTGGTGGTGCGCGAAAAAACTGCCTTTACTCAGATGTGGAAGGACGGCCGTCGAGGTGATACGGGTGGAATTTCTTATCTCTCGTCCAATGATAAAACTCAGTTGTAAGCTATGTGAGTTTCTGAAATCAAAACCTATACGAATATTTTACAAAAAAGTTGAAAGGTGTTAAAGTTTGTTTCGATACTTAGAAATGTATCGTTCAATAACAAATTTAGTAATACGGATACAGTAATACTTAAATTTAAAACGTGACGTAATGGTCTAAATATTTTTAAATTTATGCTATTTTTACGTAAATAACGTATAGATTTTGTAACATACATACATCAGCGATTATAAGTGAAATATTACATCAATTTATTGACATTGTTTATTCCTATTTATCCATTTTAATTATTATTATTAGTAGGTTAAGAATATTTTAAATACCATTTCGTTATTTACTTTGATTGTCTTTGGTAATACATATATAATTTATTTATCGATTTCTTGACTAAAGAAATATTTTAAATTTTTCAAACGTATGAATACGTTACAATGAACAACAATATATTAACTGCGATTATTCTCTTAATCTTAAGTAATAATCTATAATAATAATAATCTTAGTAACCATTACTGGGCCACAGCTCGGCTCCTACTACACTGTTTCAATTAAAGTTTATTCTTTCTATTAAATGGTCCTTGCTGTGGGGTAGGGTAACCTTCAGAGTCGTCACTTAGGTAAATATGTTTCCCGTAAACTTAACCTCTTTATAATATTATTATAGATTACACTGGCGTTCACTGCTTGGTGTTAAAAATCGCTCGAAGTCCTTACAATTAGTTTAGTGTTCGCTCACTACTTAAAAAACATTATAGTACGGAAATTCGCGAGCAAGCTATAAGTATATTAGTTGGGTTACCTGAAAGCAAGTCTTATACCGGAAACATCGATTTCTTTCCTTCATAATTAGAAGAACATAATGTAGAAGGTATTATGTCAATGGTTCTTACAGAAAAAATGGCTTATTTACCTAAATTAATGTGGCATAACAATTATAATGTGAATTGTTTAGATAACGTAACATCGTGAGAAATAAAATGTAGGTTATTTTTATGATCTACAATAATTGTAGTGTTGGATATGCTTTTCGTTTACTGCTTCACGTATATGTGTATAATTTGTGTATGGTATTCCATGATGTACGTAAATAATACTTACGAAAATCTTTACTACTCCATTGGTTGTTTAGTTTATTGTTGTTTTAAATAATAAATAAAAAATTCTGTATATGTATCCGATTTTTGCAGCAAAAATTTCCGACATACTTACATTAAACTGCTAACAAATATCAATTTTTCATTTCCAACACACACATATACAGTATTTACAATGTTCTTAACCTTCGCAGTAATATTAATAATATTTAAAAATTGATGAATAGAAAATTAAAACAAATTTAAAAAGTTTGGTCGCTGTGGCCGTGCTCCTTTAATGTTGGCAGCATTGCGCTGTATATTAATCTCTCATTTTTTTAAACTAAATAGTTTGTTGACAGTCAATAAATAAATAACATTACGTCGTGGAGTTGTTATTGGTAATACATTATAAAGGGTTTTTCAACAAGAACTTTGTTTTCTAAAACAAAATAAAACAAAGAATTTAGAGGAAAATGAATAAAATTTTTATTGTATTACAAAGAGAAAAGTTTGGCAATTATGAATGAAAAATGATATCTGGCAAATGTCCACCACGACCACGCTGACAGATGTTGATTCTTTCATCAAAATTTTTAATCACTTTTTGGCAAAATGGAGGGTCTATTTCGTTAATGACATCACGGATTTTGAGTTTTAAGGCTGCAATCGATTCGATTGGCTCCGTATAGACTCTGTCTTTAACATAGCCCCACAAAAAATAATCCAGTGGTGTTAAATCACACGATCTGGCTGGCCACTTAACAGCTGAATTTCGCGAAATTATGCGCTCGGGAAATTTGGTTTGCAATAAATTGATCGTTTCATTGGCTGTGTGACATGTGGCACCGTCCTGTTGAAACCACATTTCAGTGATATCCATGTCATCAATAATAGGCCAAAATTTAGTGGTTAACATCTCGCGATACCGTGATCCATTGACTGTTACCGCATTTCCAGCCTCATCTTCGAAAAAAAACGGCCCAATCACGCCTCCAGACCACATAGTGCACCACCACACAGTAACACGTTGAGTATGCAAAGCCTTCTCAATAATTGCTTTAGGATTTTCAGAAGCCCAAATGCGACAATTTTGCTTGTTGACGTACCCTGACAAATGAAAATGGGCTTCGTCTGAAAAAATGATTTTTTCAGAAAAACCAGCAGGTTGTTCCTGAATGAACTGAGCGAATCTGCGGCGATTTGAATGGTCGATCAGCTTTAATTCCTGCACCAGTTGAATCTTGTAAGGCTTCAAAGCCAAATCCTTTCGCAAAATTCGCCATGTTGTGCTTTTGGATAACCCCAATTGTTGAGAACGTCGTGAAATTGACAAATTTTGATCT